AAATGTGCATTGAACAGAATTTTTGATGAGTTTTTGGGGTGATGGTGGGGTTTGTGGGGTTCGTAACTGATGGCCAAGAAAGAATTCTTGAAGACGTCTTTGGTGCAAAAAAGGTAATTTAATTAAAGTAAGGGACAGGACCCCTGGGCAGGAAGAGCTTCCAGGGACCATGAGGACAGACTGGTTATATACTTGGGAGTTGAGGGAAGGTAAAAATCAAGTGGAAGTTTCCAAGAGCTTTTCATATTAAAGAAGCCTCACAGGGTACTGGAGGCCTCGCTATTGGCAAGTTAAGGTTGTTTTTCCCTCAACAAAGCATTAACAATAAGACGTTGGGAGTTCCTGGAGAAATGTTTTACTCTGCTAGCCTCAAGTAGTTGTCAGTGGGCTTCAGGTTATAAGGAAATTTAATTTTATCTGCCATTTCCTTCTGCCTTTGTTTCCCACATCACTATGGAGAAGTGATATTGGGGCTCCAGGAAACTGAGTGAATCTATAGGTTTCTGGAGATTAGGCTGTTGATAAGACTGACTTTTTCTTGTAATTTACTAAGATATTTGTAAATTGATGGAGACCCATGTCCTGCATGACTGTGATCTCTATCAGTTAACCATTTACTTTTCCCCTTTTCCTTTGTTCTTGGGCAGCCAGGAGTGCCTAACATACCCCACCTGGGAGTAGGGAGTATTTGGGACTGTCAGTTTGCCTTATGCTCCCTCATGATTTTCACATAGTTGAGTCTAAAAGACAAAGTGGGATAACCTCTCTCTTTATCCCTCCCCATGTCACTGACTTTCAAGGACAGCATGTGGAAGACTTGCTGATAAGGGAGCTTGGAGAGAAGTTGCAAGGGGCATTGAATTCCCTCAGGTCTGTCAGTGGTTAGGGAGGTCTGGGACTGCACAGCCATTAGGAGCTACTTGGTGTGCAGTGGCTGGAACTGCCTTTGAGTGATAGTGAACATGAATCTGCGAGGCTGCCACTTAGCTAGTTGGTAGTAGGAAATGGGATATTGTAAGTTAGGTAGAATAAGTGACAAAAATAGAGATTGATCAATTTTGCTTAAAAATCTATTCATTTTTGCTATAATGATTTTTGTCATTTATTGTATGCTGTAAGTTTACAACTAATTTTTTATTGGCAATGACTCTTTCAAACTTCGTAACAATTATAATTACATATTTAATGATTTTATTATCCCTGTTCCTTCTTCAGAGTGTCCTGATTTAGACAATAAATGTTTACTTATAATTCAGGCTAAGTTAAAGAACTATGGGATAGAGCAAAAACACACAAAACTAGGCCTGTGAGCCTGTTCAGCCTAGCCTAGAATGGCTTTTAAGTTTTGAAAGGTTGAAGAAAAAAAAGAAAAAACAACAAAAAGAAAGAAGCATGTATGATAGAGACGTTATGAGGCCTTGTCTGAAATATTTACTGTCTGGTTCATTACAGAAAAATTCTGACTGTGTCAGGTTTAGGGTCTGTGGTAAGTACATTGGAAGGCTGCGTAAGCATAGTTGTTTATCATGAACACATCTTTGCCTATTTTCCAAGTTAAAGTGAGGATTTGGAAGTTACTATATTCTTGTTGGTTTAGTGTTACAAATGCATTATGTAGCATTCTATAGCCAGGTTCTAATTTGTGACCCCTTTCTAGAGCAGAGGTTCTTACAGTGTGGTCAGTGGGGCTTATTGTGACTCTTTCAGGAGGTTAATGAGGTCAAAGCTATTTTATAATAGGAGTACAGCATTATTTTCCTTTTTTCACTGTATTGATATTTACACTGATGGTACGAAAACAATGGAGGGGGCTTTAGCACAAATCAAGGTGTAGCAGTGAGTCACACACAGAGAGTCGGGACACCCAGGCTTTTCTTTCTAGGAAGCAGCTTTATTGATGCCAGCACGGGCTCAATGGGCTAAGACCCAAAAGGCTGAGCCCCAAATGCAGTGGGGGGTTGCTTTTTGTACAAGTTTTGCTCCTTTCTTTCCCATATATGGTAAAATACAGTCTGCATGGGCGGTCTATGTTACAGAGTCTTGAGGAATGTCACCCCCACACACACATAGCCAGGTTGCCTTTCCTAGTCTTGAGGTTTTCACCACATTCCTTAGGGAGGGCCTCTAACACAAAGGTAGTGGCACCAAACTTTCCAAGTTGTTATTATATTCTTCATTACCATGTACTCAAAGAAACAAAACTCACCTAAAAATTCCTTTATAAAGCAGTACAAAATAATTACATTTTAACCTTTTTGTACATAACTTTTTTGTTTGTTTCAAGTTTTTATTTAAATTCTAGTTAACACATAGTGTAGTAATGGTTTCAGGAGTAGAACTTAGTGTTTAATCACTTACATATAACACCCAGTGCTCATCACAAGTGCCCTCCTTAATCCCCATCACCTAAGGCCATCCCCCTATCTGCCTCCCTTACAGCAACCCTCAGTTTGTTCTCTATAGTTAAGAATTTGTTTTTTGGTTTGCCTCCCTCTCTTTTTTTTCTTTTATGTTCATCTATTTTGTTTCTTAAATTCCACATATGAGTGAAATCTTACGGGATTTGTCTTTCTCAGACTGACTTATTTCACTTTAGCATAATACACTCCATCCATACCATTGCATACAGCAAGGTTTCATTCTTTTTGATGGCTGAGTAATATTCCACTCTATATACATACCACATCTTATTTATCCATTCATCAGTCAATGGACATTTGGGCTCGTTCCATAATTTGGCTGTTGATAATGTTGCTAAAAACACTGGATGCATGTGACCTATCAAATCAGTATTTTTTTTATCCTTTGGGTAAGTACCTAGTAGTGCAATTGATGGGTTGTAGTGTAGTTCTATTTTTTCCAGAGTGGCTGCACGAATTTGCATTCCCACCAACAGTACAAGAGGGTTCCCCTTGCCCCATATCTTTGTCAACATCTGTTGTTTCCTGTGCTGTTAATTTTAGCCATTCCTTTTTATTTTCACATGTGATGAAATGGAAAATATGCATAAAGCACTTCTCCTGATGGTTTTCCTTCGGACAGCCTTACATGTAATTAAGTTGTGAGTTACAAACCAGTTGCTTTTTGTGAAATGCCAGTTTTCCTTCAAAGTGTAACTGAAAAACTATGATTATTGGCAAACATTTTCTCAAAAATTGATAGAGTGAGTCTATTAATACTTTAAGAAAACTACTGACTATATTTGTTGCCAACAGTACAATTTGAGCTTTCAGTCAAAAATTAGAATTTTGGAATATTTCTGTCTGCCACCAAAACTTTGATATCTTTTCAATACTTGAAGACTTCTCTGAAGATAATCATGGCATTTAATAAATGTAACTTTTAAAAGTATTATATAGTGAAATGTGTAACATATTTTGCAAATGACCAATGTATGATGCAGAATCATGCCTGGGTAAAAGATCCATTTAAAGTGTAAGACAGGGGCACCTGGCTGGCTCAGTCACTGGAGCATGTGACTTTTGATCTTGGAGTCATGAGTTTGAGCCCCATGTTGAGTGTAGAGATTACTTAAAAATAAAATCTTAAGAAAAAGTAAAGTGTAAGACAAATTTTAATGTGTGTACAAAAGGTTAATTGATACTTTATTGCAACTAACATTTAAGAAACTATCCCTTGTTTTATTTTGGTGTCCTATAAAAAAAATATAATTATCTGTAAAAGATTAAAATACTTCTTATTTTTCTAATAAGCTGGATTTTCTTTCTTTTTTTTAAGGTTTATTTATTTATTTTGAGAGAGAGTCAGCATGAGAGAGCAGGGGAGGGGCAGAGAGAGAGAGAGGGAGAGGGACAGAGAGAGAGAATCTCAAGCAGGCTCTACACTGCCAGCACAGAGCCCAGTGCAGGGCTTAATATCATGAACCAGGAGATCATGACCCTTATAAGCCAAAATCCAGAGTTGGATGCTTAACCAACTGAGCCACCCAGATATCCCTGGATTTTTTCTTAATATATTTCAACCAAAACAATATTATTGTTTACAAATTAAATATAGAAGTGGCAGTGAGAATCCAGCTGTCTTCTAGTAAGCCAACTATGAAAGAAATATGTAAAAAATGGAAATAATTATTGCTTTTCTCATTACATTTAATGTTATTATTTTGGAAAATTATTTTTTTAAATTTTTTTTTCAACTTTTTTTTAAATTTATTTTTGGGACAGAGAGAGACAGAGCATGAACGGGGGAGGGGCAGAGAGAGAGGGAGACACAGAATCGGAAACAGGCTCCAGGCTCTGAGCCATCAGCCCAGAGCCTGACGCGGGGCTCGAACCCATGGACCGCGAGATCGTGACCTGGCTGAAGTCGGACGCTTAACCGACTGCGCCACCCAGGCGCCCCTGGAAAATTATTTTTAATAAAATATTTATATCATTGAAATGGGTTTATTTTTTTTTTACTTTTTTTTTAATGTTTATTTATTTTGACAGAGAGAGAGAGAGCGCGCGCGCGCGCGTGCATGAGTGGGGGAGGGGCAGAGAGCGAGGCAGACACAGAATCCGAAGCAGGCTCCAGGCTCTGAGCTGCCAGCACAGAGCCCAACGTGGGGCTCGAACTCACAGACCATGAGATCATGACCTGAGTCGAAGTCGGATGCTCAACCGACTGAGCCACCCAGGCATGACATGAAATGGGTTTATTATTTTTAAGTGAATTAATATTTGAAAATTTTCTTTTTAAATTATTTATACAGTGGATATCAATAGATACAACTCACACAAACATGAAGGTAACTAGAGTCCTCTGTATTTTTAAAAATGTAAAGGTCCTAACTGCTCATAAGGGGTGTAAGCAATCACTTCTTCAGTACATTGAAATATATTGCTGTAAATAGTTTTATGAATAATTAAGCCTAAAACTATCCCATTTAAAAGTTTTTCATTTATTGCTACAATATGATAATTTCATCAGCTATTTTCCTTTTTTTGTCACATAAGAAAAATCTTTTTAATTTTTTTCTTCTTTATCAATTCTCACAGCAATGCTGGGGTAAAAACAGCACTACTAGAGACTCATTCTGAGATGGGGAGCACTGAAATTCTGGAAAAGGAGACCTCAGAAAGTCTCAGTAATGGTACCAGCAGCAACATAGAAGCAGCCAAAAGGTTGGCCAAACGCCTTTATCAACTAGACAGATTCAAAAGATCGGATGTCGCAAAGCACCTAGGCAAGAAGTACGTTCTGTACCAAGGCTGGTGTCTGAATGTGTCCGTGTGTGTTGTCTTGTTTAATAGCTTCAACTTTAATAACAGAGTCTATCCTGTTTTCTTATAGCAATGAATTTAGCAAACTAGTTGCAGAAGAATATCTGAAGTTTTTTGATTTTACAGGAATGACACTGGATCAGTCTCTCAGGTATGATTAAATATCACTTCTGTTCTTTTTTGCCTCCAAAAATTAATTCTGAGAAGAGAAGTAATGCTGAAGCTAAAGTGTGATTTTTAATTTTTTTAAAACCCATAGTGACTTTGTAATCTTAGCTCAGATTATTCTATAGTTATTAAACATAGCAGAAAGAAAAATATATTGTTTTTATGAAATCATATATGAACTCCTATTTTGCATCTAGCAGATGATGTGGTAAAGAATAGTGACAAAGTAAGTCTCGAGGAGGAGTAGAATCTGTGGGAACTTGGTTTTTGAATGATCAATTTAAAAAAAGGCAGTTTTACAGGCTGTAGAATTATATATTTTTTTCCCTAAGCATTTGTTTACAATAGCCAAGTAGCCTTTTAAGGTGATACTTTGGTATTAACTCATGAATGGAAGAAAAATGACTATCCACATAATAATCAGAAAATATCTGCAAAACTGTTTCAGCACTTTTTGCTGATCCATTCAAAATAGTGTCATAAACACACTGATCCTCACTTTTCACACCACTATTGTATTGTAAATTTCTAAGAGCCACTGCTAAAAGTAAAACTTAGTCAGCATTTACTCTTATAAACTTTTTAACATGTCAGAGGTTGGAGGAATTCTGAGATCATCTGTGTAACCCTCTAGTTTTATAAATCAGGAAACTGTGCCTTGGGAGGTGAAGTGAGGATGTTTGGATTAGAATGCACAACAGTGACTTATTCTGTGGCAGTTTGCATGAATCAATGGCACTCATAGGTTTTTCCACTGAAAACAAATAAAGGCAGAGGAAAGATCTATATTTATGCTTTACTTTCTGATGTGGTTTATAAAAGTTATGAAAAATTAAAGTTTGGTCAGTGTAATTTAGATTTAACAAACTAAGACAGCAACATTTTCATCATAGAAATAAGGTTTTATGTATGTTTCCACAGTAAGACTTTTTAGAACATTTTAAAGGATTTTTTTTTCCTATTCATCTCATACTTAGGGAAGTGCTTTGTCTAGTGAGGGTCATCTGAGTTTATCCATAATAGACAGTACTCTTAGTGACTCAGATTTAGATTGGTGTGTAGTTCTGGGCATATTTTTATTTTTCAAAGAATTTTTATACATACATTAATTTATTCCTAACCCAAGAAATAATTTATAGTTTTAGCTCCCAATTTCCTTTCCATATAAAAGGTAATAATATAATATGATAATAGGCAAAATAAAATAAGAGAAATCTACTATACACAAAATAATATAATTGTAATTTTAACAATGTGTCAATGACAAGTATAATCATATAGCAAAATGATAAACTGTGATCCATGTACAGTTTTAAAACATAGCCTTCATGGTTGTAGGTTCAGCCTTAAGTGTTCTTTGGTTTTTATCTGACTGATCTTTTAAATGGCTATTTGTCATTTAGTCATGGGAAGTTACCACCTTCCCAAGGTGGTATTGTTATTCCCTTGTCCATCTTTATATTGACATTTTATAGAATAAAATAAATTTATATTGAATGGCTATATAGTAAGTGATTTTATAAAAGAATAACTGTAGAATATCTTCATATAATTAATTTCTCTTTATTTGTATACTTATTTGAGACAGAGAGAGAGCTAGCAGGGGAGGGTCAGAGAGAGAATCCAAGCAGGCTCTGTGCTATTAATGCAGAGCCCGGTGTGGGGTTCAGTGTTACGGATCATGAGATCATTACTTGAGCTGAAATCAAGAAATGGACACTTAACAGACTAAGCCACCCAGGCACCCCTAATTAATTTCTTATTATATATGAATTAATTTTATTTTAATTTTTTAAAATGTTTATTTTTGAGATAATAAACTCAAAATAAGAGACAGTTGGATGCTTAACCAACTGAGCCACCCAGGCACCCCTATATGAAGTAATTTTAATTGTCAAACATAAAGAGTATGGTAATGTTTTCTAAAGTTTCACTTTTTTCCCCCTAATTCTTTTTTAGGTATTTCTTTAAAGCATTTTCTCTTGTGGGAGAAACTCAAGAACGAGAGAGAGTTTTAATACATTTCTCCAATAGATATTTTTACTGTAACCCAGACACTATTGCTTCACAAGGTAATCTGATGGAAATGTTTGTATTTCAAAAAACAAGGGCTATTTTTCTCATTATTAAAGTTATATTTTATTGTGGAAAATATGGAAGATTATACAGAAGAAAATGAAAATCATCTAGTTATCTAGAGATAACTATTATTAACTGCTTGATTTATTTCCTTCCAGTCAGTTTGTGAAATATTTAATGTCAAATTGGAATCATTACAGAGTTTTGTTTCCTGTTGTCCTTCGTTTTCATTTGAGCGTTTTCTCATGTCATTAAATATTCTTTAAAAAGCATGATATGTAATGACTGCATGATATTCCTTATTCTTCTTTTAATTAATTTTTACTTAGTTTTCCAGTTCCATACTATGACAGGATGCTTTAAGTTGCTCATGCTGTCACTCTGAGATTTTACATGCAAAGCACATTTTAATGAAATGCTAGTTTTCTTATTTCTTCTTCCTATACATCTGACCCTAAACCCCTTGCATGTATGCTTATTAATTTTGTGGTTAGTTTTGGAAACGTTTACAAATCTCACTGGAGTTTGTGGTGTGTCTCCAGTGCTTTGGTTTGATATTCATTGTAACAACACTGACCACTGAATTTGGTTTATGATTTTAATGAACTATGAGTTTATGTTTATTGTACTAATTTTAAAAAGCAAGTTTAAGCTATTTAATTGTTGATGTACCCTATCAAGAGAGGTTTTTCCTCCATGTCAACTCCTGCAATAAAGCAAAGTTTTCATGATTTGAGGTCAGGTGCTTTCATTTGCAATTGGAGAATCTTTCATAAACACAGATTCTGGAAGAGATCACTAGGACCAGATGCATGAGAAATGGCAGTTATCTTTGAGCTTCAATATTGCCAGTTAAGTGTACATGATATTGACTAAAGTGATTATTCCCCAGGTCTCTGGTCTCCACCCTCCAGGCTATAGCTAAATTAACTAACCATCTGATCATTAAAGTCACATTCTTCTCTGTAAAATGGGAACTTAATTTTCTTTAGTCCTTTCTTTGATTATAGTTAGGCCTATTGTAATCACGGAGTAGAGAATGAAAGGGATAAAAAGGGAGTTGTTTCTATTAAAACCTTCTTCATATCTAATAAGATGTTAGCAGTCCTTAGTGAAAGAAGGAATATGGATGTGTACCCTCAACTGATAGGGATATTTTAGAGTTGGCTGCTGAGTTTTCTAGATGCTTTTAAGGAATTTGTTTTAATGTATTTAAAATTTAATAATAAGCTGGAAGTGGAATGAATATACTTTTGGGCATTTGGTAACATCTCCTTAGAGGCATTAATAACAGAAATCACCTACTATCCTCAAAGGCATACTTTGAAAAATAAGCTTTTTGTTTTTTAAGATTTTTTTAAAGTTTATTTATTTTGAAAGGGAGAGGGAGAGAGAGAGGATCCTAAGCAAGCTCCACACTGTCAGCACAGAGCCTAATGCCTGGCCGAACTCATAAACTGTGAGATCATGACCTGAGCCTAAGTTAAGAGTCAGACATTTAACTGACTGATCCACCCAGGTGCCCCCAAATAAGCTTTCTTTCATTCATGAATTCAGTAATTAGAAAGGCCTTTCTGTACATTTGGCATTCATTAGTAAGATTTTTCTGCATCTGCAACTGCTATGGACAGCTATACTTGGATTGAGAATTGCAAGAAAAGAATGAGAAGTATTTCTAAGGTTTGGAAATGAGAAGCTTAATTCTTATTGCCTTTTCTTTTCCTCTATAAAGTAAGAAGAGAGAGCAATGTTTCCATCTAAGTGTGAAATGATCCTTCTGGTTTGAACAACATTTTTTTTGAATATTTAATTTTTTAATATTTTCAGATTATTCCAATATTTTACTTTTGTCTGATCCATAGTATCCTGTGCCAGTAGCCTACATGTTGCCTTTAAAGAATTGTCACGAAAAAGGATAACTATTCCTCTTTTTTAGCCAGAGAACTAATACCCAGAAAGTACAATGAAAGACCCAAATCTTGGTTTCCTTTAACTTTTGCTTCTTTCTTAATTTACTTTCCTCTCAGAAAGTTAAAAAAGAAGGAATAGTAGAAAATGGTTTATTTTATTTTCTGTATCTTGTGTTTCAAAAATTAAGAAAATATATAGATAAAAATATAAAAATTATCTCACTATCCGGAGACAATAATCTTTTAATATTGTTATGTATTATTCTAGATATATTTATATTTAAATGGAACTATACTGCATTTAGTGCATTTTTCATGTAATAATTTACTATGAAATATTTTTCTATTTAAACATGTATACTTGGACAACATTTTTAATGACTTACACATAACAGTTGTATTTTTGGAGGGTTTTATTTACTTGTTCCCCATTGAAAGCAATGTTTCTTTGGATATCCTTGTATTTTGTATAGATCCTTATTTCCTTAGTGTAAAGCCCTGTAAGTGGATTTACTGTGTCAAAAGTAAAAGATTACTGTTTCAAAGCTTACAATGTGTATGTCAAATTCCCCTCCAGAGAGGTAAGAATAATATACTTTACCAGCAGTAGAGTCCAACTTTGTCACTGAAGTCCCTTTAGTATTTTATTTTTATCTATTTTTTTGTCTCCCCAAATATGATGAATTGTGCCTAGCCACATTATTGTGTTTTCATAGGTTCTTAGTGTATGCTATTTAATGATAATAACAAGGCCAACAGGAAATAGTGAATTAATGCTTTCTTTCCTTGTCTTTCCCCTTAGATGGAGTCCATTGCCTCACCTGTGCAATGATGCTTCTTAACACAGATCTCCATGGCCATGTAAGTGTAGGTGTGTGAAGATGTCTTATACAGATTAAAATGTCTTGGGCTTATCTTTGCTTTTGTGTTCATACATATTTATTATCTGCTGCCCTTTCTCTCATTCTCTACTTGACAGCTAGGTAAACATAAATCTTTGGAAGAAGAAATAACTTACTTTACATGCTAGCACAGAGCTTAGTTTTAAGTGAATACGATATCATGTACATGTCTGGAGTTGTTTTGTCTGTAATGTGTGTGTTCTGTATCTTCTTTCTCCAGTAGATGGCAGAGGCTGAGCTTTTACTTTGTTGTTTTTGTTTTTGTTTTATTTTGTTTTTGGTTAGCTATTAGAGTTGATATCTGATGGAAAGGAGATATAAGTTAGATCTGAAAATGTTGACTGTGTTTTCACCAAATACAGTAGTGAGTCATAAGAACTCAGCCTTTTCTACATTTCTCAGCTCACCTGGTCTTTTACCAGTTAAAATATCAAAATGATATAATTACTTTCTCTTCTTGTATTTAAGATGTAGAATAAACTTAAATTTATAGTTATTATACAAGCTTTCCTTTTGTAGATGTGGAATTTTAGCATTTACTTAAACTATTTATATTAGAGAAAATAAGAATGTTTTAGCTTAATATAGGCCAATATATACTTATTTAGCGCAAAAACTTTTTCATACCCTCCAGTCCATTTATTTTGAAGAGAAAACCAGGTTTCTTGTAATTAAAGAATCTAAATCATCCCTTGATTTGCTATATGATTTATCTTACAATTAAAAGAACTAAAACTCAGTTATCAGTCCAATTTCGTTCTCCTATTTCAAAAGGCCACATAATTTCCTTAAGGCAAAATGGAGCTCTATGGGACCATTAAGATGGACTGAAGGGAAAGAAGTGTTCTACCCTCAGAAGACTGAAGAGGAGATGTAGTTAGTGACAGTTAGTTTAACGCTGCCTTCACAAATCTCATGATACTCAACCAAGAAATTCCTTTTGCAGTTTGCATCAGGTGAATTTAGAATAACTTAGTGACTTGTTGACATGCATAACATGTGTCCAGAGATGATAGAGATTAAGAATGTAGATTTTTTTCAGGGGACATTTTGGAGTAATAGCGCTGTAATACATCTTATGGAAATGAAGGTACTAGTGAGCCTTGAAATGAGGATCAGAATCTAAACTCATCCAGCTTGCCAAGGGGAGGACGAATCAGTGGATAGTCCTGACCTCTGCTTTTCTCTTACCAGTGAAGCAAGTTTTCCCTGCTTTCCTCTTTCCCTGTCTTGTGATAACAGTTGCAATTCTGTCCCCTTCTTTTCTTCACACTAAATTTCTCAACCTTTCAGCTGAGACAATTTTGAGTGCTCTTGTCCACATATAACTTTGGTCTAAATCAGAGAGTCCCAGCATGAGGGATCTTCTTCACATGAGTTATTTTGAGGTCCCATCCATATATGATGGTTGTACATTTAGTGTCTGTTTACTGAGAAAATGTGTAATGAAAAAAAAAAAGAATCAATTCTTATTTAAAGGTTGAGGATCTCATAGAACTTCTGTGGAAGTTGTTAGATGCGAGATTGGTTTCTATTAAAAGGTAAATTACCTTTTAAAAAGCTAATATTGCTTTAATAATACTTTCAAATAAATATGTAACTTATTAATCACAATAATTTGAAACAGGAGGAGATAAAGGTGTGAGGTTTATTATTTATTCAGATAAGTCAGCATGCTTGATATCCAACTAGGCATGGGCACCTCAGTGTCTTTAGCCCATAGGTTCAGAACCACAGATCTTGGATTTGCTCTTGCTCTGTCTTCATACCTCCTTCGAATATTTGAAAAGAGATTAAATGAAGCATCATACTTCTTTTGGCAACTAGAATGTAAGAGTTTATCAGTAAGAGACAGCAAACAAATGAACAGTTTATTATTAGCTTGAGTTATGCCAGTCATACATAATTAATATTTGGCTGTGGTGGCAGAATTACATATAAGAGGGAGAATATTATAAGTACAAGTAAATCTCTGTATATCATCAAAATCATGTATTTAATGATTATTAGTTCTTAGCTTTGTTTTTGAAAATGTATGCTTTATACTTAGGGTTGTCTGTTGTTTAGGTTTTGTATACTAGAGTTTTTTTAATCCTTATTTAGAATGCATGCTGTTAAAAGTCTGTTAAAATAGATAGTTGTTATCATGAGAACTAACCATATGAAAATGTGTTTCTCTTATCTTCAAACTATGGATTCATTTAAAAAATAAATTTTCCTTCTAGGTGGTAAGTTTTTATCCATAATTCTGGATGTAGCTTCTCTTGCATCATGGTTGCCTGATTTTTTGTTATCATGTTTGTTTGACTTATTAGCATGGCCCCTTTGAAGGTGAACCATTCAAAATATAAAGTGGTTCATTTCTAACCTTTTCCCCTTTTCACCTTCCTAGGCTGTACTGCCTAGGCCATTACCTCTCATTACTCAATCCAATGTCAGAATAATCCTCTTGGGGAGTAAACTAATAAACCATTTTCTTTTTCTTTTATACCATTGTGCCATGATAGCATGACCTTTTTAAGAAGTACCAAGATAAGCGTGTTCTCATACTCTCAGTGGGGGAGGCATACCTTGGGAATTCTTTTGGCTTTACTTTGTGAATCTTTCTTGTGGCTTTATTTACTCTAAGGAATGATACATTGAAAATGCACTGATATGGGCCTTTGTTCTGCTAACTTTCTTACTAATAAAACAATAGAATGTATACTAATGTAATAAATCTAATATAGTGTTACATGTTGGAATTTCTTTCTTTCTTTTTCTAATTTATTTGATCATTCAACAAACTCTTTTAGTGTCTCTACTCTATCCAAGTTCTGTGCCATTTGGGTAAGGATGGGAAATGAATGAGATGTTCATGGAAGTCAAATCTCATTTCTGGAGTGTTGGCTAGGCTAACTTCCATTAATCCTTTAAACTGAAGAATGGTAGCAGGTAACTGAGGTGCTAAGGTGGAAAAGCACTGGAGAGCTATTTAATTTTAATTATAGCTAATTTAATCACTGGATTATTGAACTTCACTAATAAGTATGCTAAGAAAAAAAAATCTAAGGCGTATGCAATATTTTGGGGAGAAATTCATTCAGATGTTATAATTTAATTGGAACTAAAAATGCTGATTCCGTTTTGTGTCTATTTTTTTAAAAATATGAATGATGTATCATTATTTTAGCAATAGTATTGACTGGCTTTTATTTGTCTGCATGTGGCTTATTCTTTTAGATAAATATGTTATAATTGTGGTCACATGATTAATTTGCTAAGTAATCTTTTTAAAATGCCTCCATCTATGAAATATATATGTAAATTAAACTTTTGCACATACAGATAAATTTCTATTAAAACAAACTCGAGTGTGGTTTTCTCTTGCTATACTGAAACTAAGTTGTATTACATGTTGTTTGAACTATGAACATGGAAAGAGTTGAAAATATGAAAATCTTTTTCTTTTTAAAGCCTTGTATTTTATTGGAAATAGTTTGAGCAAAAGGATTTTGTCATGTTAGAATAAATTCAGGCCTATTTATTTTCTGGACTAATCTTCAAATGTGCTTTTGGTACTTCCATCATAGTTGAGATTCAGCCCTCTGGCAGGATTATCACTGGGGGTAAAGGCAGGTGGCAGGGACAGGACAATAGGCAGGAACTTCTCACCAGGGCAGGACTCTGAGGTGGAAGGAAGTTTTAGATACAGATTGAGTTGTAATGAAGTGTAGGATAGATGAGTACACAATCAGTAGGTGAATTTCACAACTAAAAGTCAAAAGAGATCTACAAGACAATGGCTGTGCAGGGCCAGGCCAGTGAGAGGCAGTAGCCAGGACATTATTTTTAATGAAGATATTATGACAGAAGCTACCCTTTCATACTGTGGCTTGGTATTTTTACTAGCAATTTTACCCAAGGTGTCCACTATGCTTTTCAGTGTTGGCAAGAGCCAGCTCACTCTCCACAGGTATAAGGGAGTTGAGGACTGTGGTTCTTCTGGAGTGGTGGCTGTATCTGACTCAGGCTGGGCATCCTATAAATGTCTTTGGAATACTCCAGGTGTGTTGAATATCATCCTCAGAGGTCTGAATTTAATGTATGAGGCAGAACTTTACTGTGTTGTCTTGGTTTTGTTTTTGGTGTTAGGTTATAGGTTGAATAAGGGATAAAACCCAGTTAGTATACCATACTGGTAGAGAGGAGAAAAAGTCAAAGGTAAAATATAGTTTTTGTAATAGAATAATGTTAAAAATATATGTGGAGTTCAGTTTGACATAGGTCATAGGAGTATATTATTTTTCAGTTTGTAAACTGCATTGGTAATTGTGAGTTTTTAATTCCTAGACTGGCTCTGTAGGATCACAGAATTTTAAGTGGGTAAAATGTTTGGTTTATTATCAGAAGTGGAAAATGACTATTATAAGAATTGCTTAATGCTTTTACTTTTTATATTGTGCCTCAAAAGCACCACAAACCTCTAAGGTTGATAGGTAGTTAATATCCTTAAAAAGTCTCTGTGTCTGTAATTATCATTTTTATAACTGGCAGCTGTCTTAAGTGAATTTTGCCTGCTGCTCTCCCTTTGTCTTGGGTAGCTGTCTTGTCTATACCTTCTCTTCCTGTCTGCCCCATATCCTTGATGCCCTCTGCCAGGAAAGCCATCCCTGGCATTCATTTGTTTCCTTATTGAGTTTTACCCAACTATAGATTCTAGCCTCATTCTTAATTTGCATTCAGCCAGCAAAGCCTCCTTCCCTTACCTCTTTTCCACCTCCTTGGTGCCAAGTCTTTCTGTTCACCTCACTGGGAGCTCCCTAGCCCCAGTGACTTCTAGTGGGCTCTCATCCCAGGAGCTTCTCAATGATACTGAAAGTTCATAGAAGCATCAGGTCTAGCCTCAAAGTTGCCAAGGGTTTCTGGTGGGGCCTTGGATTCAGTTTTACTCTTACTATTCCTTTCTTCAGAATGAGC